TAAATGAAACCATTATTCGAAAGGTCTCAAATTCCGATGAGCAGAAAGGTGGTTGTGGAAAATCTATAGCACAGAGTGGTATAATTATAACTCAGATTTGCGCTGTGTTCAATCCAAACTCATCTCCAAACCAAATGTGGTTTTCTAACAATAACACTTCCCCAGAAAGGGGCCGCCCACGAATAAATGCGTGTGTGAGATGCATCTCCCGTCCGGCTAAAAATAGACCTGCAGACATCTGAAAGCAGCGCAGACCCTTCCAAACAATCAAAACAAACTCCCCGTGTTGCTGGGCCAAGCCTTTGACATTTTAAAAATCATTACAGTGGAAATAAACTCAATCTATAACACACACTATTGTTGGAAATCCTTTGAGAAAGACGCCTCTAATGGAGAACTCTAAAGCCCACTTGCTAAAACGAAACCACTTCGCTTGGCATTGTTGCAGGTTGAATTGTTTCCCCTGAAATGAAGTGTTGAAGTCCTAACCCAGAAACCCAGATGTGACCTTATTTGGAAATAGGATCCTTGCAGATGTCATTTGCTAAGGTGAGCTCATGTGGGACCAGGTGGGCCCCTCAGCCAATGCAACAGCTGTCCTTATAACAGGAAGACCTGGGCACCATGAAGACAGACAGCATGGAGACGGGGCAGAGACGGGAGTGAAGCTTCCACAAGTGCAAACACAGAGGCTCACCAGATGCGGCTGAGATCAAAATGCTGGGCTCTGAAACTCTGACAATGAATTCCTGTCGTTTCAGGCCAGCCCACTGAGGCCCATGGTAGGCAGCCTTTCAGGTAAATGCCAACGTGTGAGACTGGTATCGCTGAGGTCTGAGGTCTCCAGACAGAAGGTGTAAACTGGCTCTTGCGCATTTCTGTGGGTGCATATCAGGCTCCCAGGTTGCAGTGGGTGTGCAGAGAAGCAAGTGGGAAGATGCTTCTCCTCCCACCGCTCTGCAGCGTCTCTCTCCACTTCCCCTGGTGCGTGGTTGGAATTCCTGGGACAGCATGTCACCACCCTCTGGACTGTCAGAGCTCGAGGCAGGATCAGGGTTCCAGTCTGACTGACTCAGCTACCCAGGAGCAGTGACCTCGTCTGCCTTCACAGTTCCATGGCCCAGACATCAGCATGGTGACTCTCCCTTTCGCCTTGGTGCACCCAGGGAGCCCTGCCCTGGAGAAGCTGTCAAGGAGGCGAGCGGCTCTGTCCTCCACCCAGAACTCGCCCACCATGCCCCTCTGGCTGCTTCGGGCTTTCCCCATATGCTCATTTCTACTGTGATTAATGTTGTCGAGGTGGGGATGTAGGTATGTCTCTTAATATCTTAGACATGGTTCTGCCTTGGCGTTTTAGAACCAGTGTCTGGTTGCAGTGAATCCTGGCCTACCCATGCCTAACCTACCGCAGCCTTGCCACGTAGCAGGTGCTGCGCATGTGCAGAGCCCAAGGGAGAAGGCTGTTTCAGGAAGTATGAAGACACACTCACCCCACACGTACTCCTGAGGACGCCGTGACACTGTGGGCAAAGGCAGGGTTAGAAAACCACCCTGCAAGGAAGCGTGCATGTGCAAGCTGTCACACATACCCTATTTATGGTAATCATGGTCCCAAGACTGCCTGGTCATGCTGTCTGGTTGGCCCCATGCTTCACGTGGCCGTGTGGTCATTGGTCTCCACCATGTATGGGTCAGGGACTGTAGCAAATAGGCCAGAGTGAGTGACAGTGGTGACAGCATGGAGGAGGGCTGGACAAGGGCTATTTACCAAGACTAAGGTTTAGGAAAGCCAGTGGGGTCGGGTGCAACCGGCCAGGAGTGTCCAGACCAGGGGCTGTAGGACAGGGGTAGGCATGGCCCCCCATGCCCTGAGGTTGCCTGGTGGTCTGAGAAGGTCGAGTGGCAGGAGCCATTGCATTCTGCAGAGATATGCAGCACCCAGACACCCTACCTGGAGGGCCAGGGAAAAGCCTATCTGTCCTCTTCCTGGGTTGCCTGGCACGGGCAGATCCCACAGAGCCGTGGGACTGTGGCCAGACCAGCAGGCCAGCAGCCGGGGCAGGACAGGTATAGAGGCTGGGCTGGGCATGCAGAGGACGAAACAGGAGTAAGGAAACCAGAGAGCCCATAGAGTCATGGCTGTGTTTCTCCTGTCCCTTTGGAGCTTTGAGCTGCTCAGAACAAGCCTACCATTTCCCAAGCTGACCTTCTTCAGTTGCCTCCAGGGCCCAGGAGCCAGCAGAGCAATGTCCCTGTTCGAGGGGGACCTGAGCAGGCAGCTCAAGTGCTTGTCCATCTGGCCTTCGAGGAGGCGAGGCGCTGCCAGAGCTTAGTGTGACAGGTGGGGAGTGGCCCTTAGCTCTTGTCAGGGAGATAAGACCACGGGTGGGGGGGGGGAGGCACCAGTACTGAGCCTCCAGCGCGCAGCCGAG